GCGGGAAGATGTGTAGCAAAGTACTGGTGAGAGTCGTTCGAGAGCCTTCAGCTGGTTCAGCTTTCTTCTCGTCTGTCATGGCGCGTCTGGGTACTGCTTTCAGAAAGCTCAAGGCTGCAGGTAGAATTATCGCAGCAAAATTAAGTAAATTGTTTGGATCGAAAGAGAAAAAGGGGCCGGAAAGCAAAGCTGTTGTGTGGATAAAGACGATGGCTAGCAAGGCTTGGGTCCGAATGCGGACTCTTTTGAAGAGTATATTAACGACAGTAATTCGTTTTTTGCCGCTTATATTATTTATTGTAAATATTACTTTTCTTTCTCTTTCTGTTGTATCTTTTGCTGCTGCACCGAACCCCTTGAGTTTGATCGCCATGATATCGACAACATTCAACGTCCTCTCTTTCATCTTCAACAGCGCGATGCGGATGCACATGAGGCAATCCATTCGCAAGTCTCTTGACGAAGGTTCAGAGGCGAGGGATATGGAGCTTTTCGGCCTCAAATGGGGAGAACTTAGTGCAGAAGAAACCTTGGGGGGGGCAGATATGAAACGCCAGATGCTCGATGAGCAGCTGGATAAGTGGAGAAAACGACGGCAAACGAAAACAAAAAAACCACCGGAAAAGCAGCCAGGTGCAGCTTCTGAAACAGATGCAGAAACAACAGCAGATGAAGGAAAGGGAGAAACACCAGTGCAACCCACCGAACCCTCTCGAGAGGGCAGAGAAGGAAAAGCAAAAGAACCTATGGGAGAAGAAAGTGAAGAGAAAAACCCTTTTGTTACTGCAAGTAGTAGCACAGACGCAGAGGTAATTCAAAAAGAAATTTCAGCAGAAACAATGGAGGAGGTTCGCCGTATAATGCTTTCACGTATTGCTCAAGATCGAGCGAAACTTAATTTTATCAACGCCAAAGAAAACCTGAAAAAAGCAAGAACAGAGAAAATAAAACGCACAAAAAGAGCATGGAAAGTTGCAAAAACAAGCGTTCGTCTTATTGCAGAATCTTTGAATTACGGACTCCATAGAGTGCTCGAGAGATTCGGCGCCGCCTGGCACTGGGCAGTGGTGAGCTTAGAAACTTGAATA